TCATTTACAACTTGGAGATATAACCACTATTTTCAATTTGTGGGGATAAAGGACGCAAAAAATATTACGGTCAAATGTAAACTGTGTGCAGGACAGAAAGCATTGTCCACATCGAATAACAGCAATGCCAATCTCCTGAAGCACCTAACTAATGTACATGGGGCTATAAAACTAGTCGCCAAAGACCCCACCGTCTCAACGTCTTACTGTGCCACAGAACAACACAAAAACTTGTATTTTTATTGTTATTATTTTTAAAGTAAAGTAAAGTAACTTGTTACTAGTTACTTTTATAATTTGGTAACTAATAAAGTAACTAGTTACTTTTTTGAGAGCAGTAACTATAACTATTACTAGTTACTTTTTAAAAGTAACTTGCCCAACACTGATTGCAAGTAAGGAAGTTGTTGTACATGAGTTTTGGTCTTAATATGCTCTGCTCAATATGGGCCTAATAAGGCAGTAGTGCCACAAGAATAGTAATTCTCCCATAATAACACTTAACAAATATGAGCTATTCTTAGGTAACAAGACATTAAACTATAAGTGTTAATTAAGTCTAAATAACTCAAAATTAGGTATTTATATCTAAGAACATGTTCCCTATTTTAAAGTGAAGTCTTGTTCATAACCAATAAGCTAGTAGTTTGACTCTAATTAGGTATTTATATCTAAGAATATGTTCCCTATTTTAAAGTGAAGTCTTGTTCATAACCAATATTTAGTAGTTTTACACAATAGGTGTACTGTTCTCTCTATGTGTTATACTGTCTCAGTGTTAACATAGATTAAACAGCCAGCCAAACTCTTTTGAGAGCCAGGGAATGAGCAGCCATGCTCCTTTATTGACTTATTTGCAGTCCACTGACATTAAAATGGAGTGAAACTATAAAAGAAGAAGTTACAAGGCACTTAATGATCTCATTCATGCAAGTGTAACATACACAGATTAACACATAGGACCGCTAAGTGTAAACAAGGTAAATATAGCTAATGCTAGCTGTAAAATAAGCATGTATACAGGCTAGTATGGCTAACGCTAGCATGTATGCTAACGTTTTTTTCAGGTCTCCCTTGAAAAAGAGAGCAATGATCTCAATGGGATACACCTGGATAAATAAAGGTTTGAAATTAAATGAAATTAAATGAACGTTACCATGTATGCTAACGCTAGCGCGAATGCTAACGCATTTTCTCATTGTGTTTAAACATCTCCAAATGTCATCACATAAACACAATACATGTTACTAAACCTTACAGTGTAAGTGTAAGGCTTAAACTTACACTTACAGTCATTGCTTTCTGACGGACTTGACCCTTTTACTCTTCAGGTTGCATAGGGAAAATTAGTAGCAGTCTACTGCCATGCTATTCAGTTCATTTTCTCCTACTTCCTGTACCCGGTTTCCTGTAAAGAATTAAACAAATAAATAAAAACAAGGATAATTGTGTGTTATTGTTGAGTAAATAACAGTGTGTTATTTAGAAAAGAATAACAAATTAGAAGGAAAAAAAGATTTAAAAAATACAGATTTCAGTATTCTGAGGCTCTGCGCCCCATTTCTTTTCCTCATTGACGGCAAAAAAAAGTCAGACATTATACGATTTAAAATTGAAAACAATAATCGTGGCTTGATATTGAGTAAGAACATGTTTTTATGAACCACACAGCTTCCGGTCTTCCAAGACCCGACCGGACAAAAAGACGTGGTGCAGGCACGAAACATACTACCAATAGAAATACATTGCTTTTAAAATTGTTCTGTGTTACACGAAAAAAATGCGAAAATCGTGTTGGTGAACACGAATCAATAGATTAAATTAATTTCGTGACGAACACGAAATGCCGTGAGACTGGGTTGGTTATTTAGACACAATTAACACTTATAGTTTCATGTCTTGTTACATAGGAATAGATCATATTTGTTAAGTGTTATTATGGGAGAATTACTATTCTTGTGGTACTACTGCCTTATTAGGCCCATATTGAGCAGAGCATATTAAGACCAAAACTCATGAACAACAACTTCCTTACTTGCAATAAATAAGCACTAATTAGAGGGTTATTGAGGAAAAACTCAACTAATGGCCTATTACTTGTAGAATACGGTCATGTAGAATAAGGCATTAATAAGTGTTTTATAATGACTAATAAAGAGCCAATATACTGCTAATATGAATGTTAATTAACAACTAGTTGATGGTGAATTTGTGTACCTTAATATAAAGTGTTACCCTGCCTTTTTATTGAATACAAGTCAAGTGTGCCTTTTTTTGTTATACAGTTCAACTTTGATTCGAGAAACTTAATGACCATCATCAGATTAAACTTTCAAGCAAAATAAAATAAATTTCAAAAATAAAAATATAAGTTACAAACAAATCATTTGTGTAATCATGTAAACTTTAAGTATTTTTTCTTTGTTTTAACATAGGTTTTTCTTTGCAGTTCTCTTTGCTTCTTTCTCAATGATCAGACTTTTGCTCTCGCTGCAGCTCTTCTCGTTTGCGCTCCCTCATTTTTTGTTTTCGATTTTGACACAAACGTCCCAGGTGGGCGGGACTTTCAGGGGTGCGTTGGCTACTCAGTTTTTGAGTGACAGCCCACTACACCACAGATCATACAGTGCAACTCATGCAGCAAACTCCGGAGTCCACTCGGCCACGTTAGTGTTGGTGCCTCCTGGGGAGTTTCATGAACATATCGGACTTCTCTTATGGATTGCTGTGCATTAGACTTGTGTTGTGTAGTTTATACTTTATTCCAACTTTAAATATTTTAATACCTGAACACACTGCTGCTGTAAAATAATTTCCCAATTTGGGATTGATAAAGTGTCTGTTTATTTATTTATTTTATAGATAAAAAACACATCTATGTATTTTCAAGCTAAAGGTGATACACAATATAAACTGTATACTATTATTTTTTCAAAGACATGTTACATTTCAAAAGCATATATTGCTATGTTTAGGACATACAATTAAAGACTGCTTTAATTGAACAAATTCTACAATATAAAAGTGGCAGATTTGCTTTATTAAACAGACCAGACCTAGGCTGCATACCAACACAACTAGGAACATGCTCACATCTTACTATGTTGGTCTGAAGAGCTGAAGCATTCATACACAATGGATAAAAACTGTGTTGTCTCATTCTATATCCTGTGAGAAAATGATGCATTTAGCATTACAAACTCAACATACTATTCCTAGCCTGAGGAAGATATGAATAATCAACAGATTTGAATGGAATCTCTAACATGTCTATGTAGAATAAAGACAAAAGAGTGATTATACAAATTACATTTATTGAAATTTGAACCAGAAGATGAAGTCTCAAAGAATGTTTTAAATAAAAGGACATAAAACAAAAAGGTGGATAATAATAAAATCTATTAAATGTATATGTAAAGAAAGACATTTGGTCAAATGAAATGACACTGAGCCAGTGATAACAGCAACACCCAGCGTGGATGAAGATGGTGCAGGTCTTTCTTCATGCTGTCCCCTCCGTGCTGTCCCCTCAGAGGAAGTGGGAAAACAGGATAAGACCTCTGGACACCACGCTGTCTCAATGATCCACACTGTTAATATGAGAAGAAAATAAATGTTTTATGAAATGAAAAATATGAAGTTAACAAATAAAACACAGCTCAGGGGCATCATGGGCGGTAGGTTTTCCTACAAAGTTAACTCAGCCTCCATTGATTTTCACATCAAATTAGCGTGTTGATAAAATAAGCTATCATGGCTTATACTTGCATATCTAAACAGAATCATGAAAGCCTGTTGGTAGAGTCAGGCACACGAGTCCGTTTGAGTGTGTGCTAAGGGTTAGGCTACTTAGCTTGCATTGTTATGGATCTAAAGGTAGCAAAAGCTAACTTTCATAGCACAGCTTTACTTCTCACTTAACTAACACAATAAAGAAACAGACCGTATAGTACAGCACAAACAACACAAATGATCAATACTTACATATATTTTCACTTGTATTATAATAATTGAAATGCTGGTTCTTCTGGGGGTGTTCTATCCACGCTCAGCTACCGCACCGCAGCTGCCTGCACTGTACAATCGCTGGAGGACTGGGCTGTCACTCAAAAACTTAGTAGCCAATGAGGACGCACCCCTGAAAGTCCCGCCCACCTGGGACGTTTGTATCAAAATCTCAAACAAAAAGTGAAGGAGCGCAAAAGAGAGAGCTGCAGCGAGAGCAGAAGTCTGATCATTGAGAAAGAAGAAACAAGAACTGCAAACAAAAACCTATGTTAAAACAAAGAAAAAAGACTTATAGTTTACATGATTACACAAATGATTTGTTTGCAATTTATAGTTTTATTTTTGAAATTTATTTTATTTTGCTTGACTTCTTTTAAACTCATAGTTTTGCTTTATTCTGAGAAGGTGTTGCTTTATCTTTATGATACAAAACTAATCCCATATACTTCACTTTAATTACAATTGTATGCTGATTTTTTGTTGAATAGATTTGAGCGGTTCAAAATTGTGGGTCGCGATTTATTGACGAAGGAAAAAAGTGGGTCCCGAGGCCTGACCATTTGAGAACCACTGTTCTATAGGTTTGTGTGCATGTAAATGGTCTGCAAAGGCTAAAATCCCTGTGTTCCCTCCAGAGGGAGTTTCTCTCACACAACACATTGTACGTGACAGGGGCGGGACATCTCTAAGCGGTTGATCAATCACAATAGCTAACCAATCAGAGCAGACTGGGCTCTGGTTTCAGACAGAGGGTGAAAAGAGGTGCTGCAGCACAGACAGTATGAGAAAAATAAAGAGCTTTTTGAACATTAAAGCATGGAGACACGTCACAGTAGAGACACTACATACTGGTATGAACCTGAAAATGAGCAAAATAGAGCCCCTTTAAAATAGTTGAAATGAGTAATTGTTTCCAAATCTTGCAGTCCTAACGTCTATGGAATAAAAGTGTAGTGTGTCTTTAATCAGACCTCCTCTCTGTCTCCCCTCAGTCTTACTCAGTGGGTGGTTTGGGTGATGATGACTACAACATTCCCCCCATCACTCCCCCCACCCTGCCAGAGCACATGCTGCACCCCCATCTCCCACACGATTCCCGCTCTGGACCATACCACCAAATGGACCCCCCTTCCAGGTCAGCGCCGCACCACCCCTACCAGCTGCAGGGCATGGACCTGCCCGGCATGTCCAGTGGCCAGGATGGAAACGCCCTGCTGAACCAGGATGGGGGCACCTTCAGTCCGGACGGGGGCCCCATGACCAGCACCCTGTCTGTGGTGAGTCCTCACAACACAATGAACCACAGGGAAATAGTCAAATGTACATACATTACTTTTTATTGTGCTATACTACTACACACGTTCAATTTAAGTTTATTAATATAATATCTATTTTTATAATTTTTTCAAAATAATTTCACGAGATACATTCTTTTTACATTTATTCAAAATTAAATTAAAAATAGTAGAATAATGAGTGAAGGGCACAGGAAAGGCAGCCATTGAAAGTCTTTATTTTAGATGTAGCAGTTGTGTAGGTGTCATGTTTTACCCTCGGAAACGTGACCACACTTCCTGTTTCTCACACATCAGCTGAATGAGCCAGAGAAACAGCCTCCATCTAGAGATCAACTCAAATATGATACTCCAGTGTCAGATATGTTAGTTAAGAGGGTGTGTGTAATGATATTTGGTTTGTTGGATTGTACTCATCAGTGTTGGAAGAAGTACTCAGATCCTTTACTTAAGTAAACATTCAAATACTATGGTCTTAAAATACTCCATTAGAAGTAAGAATCCTGATTTCAAAATTGTACTTGAGCAAAAGTAGAAAAGTATTCGCATCAAAATATACTTAAAGTACAACAAGTAAATGTACTCATTCTGCACAATGGCCCATTTCAGAATAATATAAAATACAGAAGTATTATTAGCTAAATGTACTCAAGGTATCAAAAATGTAAGTACTCAATACACAGAACGGTTCACAGTATTATGTTATTGTGTTTATTATATGTGTTTGTTAATGTGGACCAAATGTAGATACCTAACATACTGTACTGTGTATATAAGGAGTACAGTACTGCATTATACCACATCAGCATATCATGTGTTTTCATGTGTACAAAGTAACTGTGAATGTTAAAATAAATGAAGTGCAGTAAAAAGACAATTGACAATATGCGCTTCTTAAATATAGAGGAGTATAAGTATAAAGTTGCATTACATTTAAATACTCAAGTAAAGTATAAATATGTCAAAGATACTTGAGTACTGTAAATGTACCTATTTACATTCCACCACTGATACTAGCATACTGATTGACAACAGAACATGTTAACAGAGAGATTTTTGAAAAGACCTCTGTGAGGATGTGGCTATTGGATCACTGTAAGATGATTGATGATGCTTCACACCAGAGGCATGTGGACTCTATCCTGCTCAGGGGTCCTCTGACTTTACTTATTGGAAGAAGTGTGAGCATATCAGTGTTAAGATTTGAAGTGACAGCCCACTGATGTATTTTAACTTGTCTTTCATATTTTATTCACTTTGACTGTGTGAAACGGGCTTTTGCCTGAGGCGCTGTTATTTGAATCGTGGCAGCGAGTGGATGTGACATTTCCCTCATATTTTAAGTCTTCATTTCCCAGTCAAATGAAAATGTCACTGCCTGTGTCATACAGTAAATAAATTAAAGCTTCACCTCAGACAGAAACTTCTGATCAGAGGGGGGACAGAGCCATATATGTGTCAGGGGTGCTGATTCATATATGTGTCTGCTATTTTATTCAGAATGAAACTTGTCACCTCCCACTCTTGGTCTTTGTCTCCAAAGCCGTAATATATTGACAGTTAAATTAAAGCTGAGGATTTCACAAATATACATTTATACACACTTATATACCCCTGTTCATATGCATACATACACACTTACTTAAAGGTGGGGTAGGTAAGTTTGAGAAACCGGCTCGAGATACACTTGTTGTTATATTCCATGGAATGCTCTTAACATCCCGATAGCAATGAATATCTTAAGTGCTTTGACAATAAATCCATAACAAAATGTCATCTGTGGAAGCCGTAGTACTGTAAAAAGCACGACCAATCATTTTAGCCGGCCCGGCTAAAATAACTGGATGGCCTACCTGCCTGTCAGCCTTCCATCTGTGCACAAACTTATCTCGTGCCCTCATTGGTCATGTGCGCGTTCGTGTGTGTTGGAGAAGGGGCTCTGTAAGGAAGTGGCAGATTTTCTCCGGTTGTGTATTTTCAAATTCTAGCGATCTCGAGCCGGTTTCTCAAACTTACCTACCCTACCTTTAACATATATATATTTATAAATATACATGTGCAGCCTTATATTTAGCTGCTTAGCAAAGCTACAAACAATCAGAATGCACTGGAGAAAAAGAAAGCACGCTCAGTGCTTTAGCCCAATATTTGTAATGATAATAAAAAAAAGAGCATGACATTTTAGTTTTAGTTTTTACATTTTCAAGTGTCTCCATCTCCATATTAAAGCTCCCTACTTTAATTTAAAGTGTCAGTTTGAAGCCTCATGGTGAAGCTCACAGCGCAGTTACATTATAAGACTCTAAACCAGCCCAACACAGACAGTTTTTAATTACACAATCCCTCTGTTTGATAGTGACTAACCTGTGTTAACTGTGTAACCGGGGAGATTATTAAAGTGGCCTGAAGGGAAGCTCTTATTTTCCATCAGTTTGTCTCCGGCCTACCTTTTCTCTGCACCTCGCCTTTATATTCTCATATTAACATTCATTTACTGCCGGTCCATGAATGATGGTCGCCTAGCAACGGTGCCTGGCTCAGCCTAATCGGGGTGGGTGGGGTTGACGTGTGTGTGTGTGTGTGTGTGTGTGTGTGTGTGTGTGTGTGTGTGTGTGTGTGTGTGTGTGTGTGTGTGTGTGTGTGTGTGTGTGTGTGTGTGTGTGTGTGTGTGTGTGTGTGTGTGTGTGTGTGTGTGTGTGTGTGTGTGTGTGTGTGTGTGTGTGTGTGTGTGTGTGTGTGTGTGTGTGTGAGATTCTAGGAAGAGGCAGGACTACTGAGTTGCATTTAATATTGAGACTGCTCTTTTTATTTCTGGCTGCCGTCTGCATGAAGGTTAATGTCTAAAATGAGGAGGTTATAGAATTAATTCTGAGCTCTCAGATGGGATTTTGTTCCCACTTGGTTCAAAGTTATAAACGTTATGTTTATATTTAAACATTGCAAGTGACAGTTCTTATTTATCTGTCATGTACTGATGTAAAGTCATTTAACCTGCCGTTTTGTGACATAAACCTTTTTGCAGAGAGACTTGTGCATGAGCAGTGGTACGGATGAACAAAGACAAATAGTGAACACTACGGAAATGCAAAATGTCTGGATAGAAAATCCAGAGGTTCTGTACATACATTACAGCATGGTTAGGCAATATGACCTTTATTGAGATTTTGACATATCTTTTATACCAAGTCTAGCGGCGACAACGTAAAGAAATCAAACTGGAAATCAAACTGTCGCTGAGGCCCCAGCGAGCGTATCTTACGCAGGAATAATCCAAACCCATTTATTTCCAATAAACAAAGTTCAATGAACAGGTTTCATGCCCTCAGCCTTTCCTATGGAATGTTTTGTTGTTGTGAGTAAACATTTGCTGTTACTGGTGCGCTGATCCCCCCAGCACCTGTCTCCAGTACACATCATCACCGGGAGCCCACCATGGTGAGTGTGGACCCCCTCTCTAGGGTTGTTGGTAGCATTGTCAGTCAGCTTTATGCAAGTATTGAAACATTTACTTTTACAGACATTTGATTAAATTCATTAGCTAGAAACACTTGTGGGAAGTAACTAACTACATTTACTCAAGTACTGTACTTACTTTGAAATATTAATATATTTCCATTAAATTCTACTTTATACTTCTACTCCGCGACATTTAAGAGGCAAATATCATACTTTTTTCTCCACTACATTTCTTTTAACACTCACAATGATCAAAACACATGCTGATGTAGTATAAAGAAGTGCTGTACTTACTAATCTAAAGGGTATTTTAAGTATCTACATGTGGTCCACATGGTGAAAATTACAACAGTAAAATGCTATTATTTACATGTCTAAAAACAGGATAATAATATAACCATAAAAATAAAATACTGTGGAAAGATCAATTCCGCATAATGAGTACTTGTACTTTTGATATTTGAAGTACATTTATCTGATAATACTTATTTAATTTATATTATTCTGAACTTGGTCATTGTGCAGGATGAGTACTTTTTGTACTTTAAATACATTTTGATTGCTGATACTTTTGTATATTTTAGTAGAATTTTGAATTCAGGAGCTTTAATAGTAATTGTACTTTTCCTTAAGGAATGGATCTGAGTACTTCTTGCAACACTGGCTAGCAACAGATATACATGTTTTTGTTTCTTCGGACCTCAGTCATGAACTACAATACACATGCTGAGTTTCTAGACTCAAATCAAGAAACAAATGTATGTGAACATTTTGATATCCTGTCAAGGACCACAACTTTGTGAAGATGTGACATGAGCCAGTCATTACTGTAATTCTCCTTCCACATAATTTCTCAATCCCTCCAAAGGAAATTATTTTCTTCCATTGCTCATGCGCTTAGTTAAAGAAGTGTTTTTAGCTGCTCTGATGTGACAGTGGCACCAGGTGTTGTGTGACCTCTGACCTCCTCTCCTCTCAGCGGGGCAGCTAGTGTTGTTGCTACACAAGCGGCTGAAAACTACAACAGAAATACACATGCGTCCTTTCCATTAGCTCTTACTGCGCATTTTCCATCAGAACATTTTCAAGTCAACCTTTCCTATTTTTCCATGCACCAATCGGACATCCTCAGCCAACAGTGGTTTAATGTAACTAAGTACATTTACTCAAGTACTGTACTTAGGTAAAACATGGAGATACTTGTACTTTACTTGAGTATTTTCACTTTATGCTGCTTTATACTTTAACTCCACTACATTTTGTAGGCAGATGTTGTACTTTATACTATGTATATTTAACATATTTAGTTACTAGTTACTTTGCAGATTTCAGGTTATTACATTGTTAATACAAAATTCAACACACATTATATTATAATATTATAAGTCATTCAAATAAACTCCATCTTTAACAATTGCATCATTAAAGTGATGTATACATAAACGCAACAATATTTTACATACAATAATTTTAAATATTTGGTACTTACAATGGCTATTTTGCATGACAAGTACTTTTTGGAATTATTTTTGGAAGTATACCAATACATTTTTACTTTTACTTAAGTACAATTCTGAATGCTTTTACTTGTACCAGAGTATTTTTACACTGTACTATTACTACTTTTAAGTTAATACTTAGAGTACTTCTTCAACCTCTGTCAGCCAGGCAGTTTTATTATATAATGACAAAAAGTCCTGATAATAAATCATATAATGAAATCAGATAACACTCATTACATTTTATCTGCAAAAAAACCTCAAAATCAGTGCAGCCTGTTCCTCAGATCTTCAAACTATTCCAAATCCAGCCGTTTTATGTTCGTGTTGCGAGCTGTCACATAAATGTGACGGAGTAAAAGCTCTCTGGAGAATTATGACAACGGATATTTTGACTGTTAACCAACGTGACATTTATTGAAGTCCCAACGCTGAACCACAGCTATTAATTGTCTGCTTTTCTACCAGCACATGCGTCAGTCTGAAAGCTCTTTCCATGTTAGAGAACATCACTCTGTGTTCTATCTAAATACCACAGCAGTGTTCCGAGTTCAGGTGACGCGTTCCCAAGAGCACCAGACCACATCCGCTATTATTCGATGCTTACTAAGAGGAAACTCATCACTAACCATGTCCTTCATATTTGTGATGATGGGTGTCAAAGTTCCCATGCTGAGGGTGTTAGAAATCACATTGGTTTTGTTTTCATGAGAAATGGACCAAAAAAGACGAGTGACTCACAACGAGACTGCTCAGAATCAGAATTCCTTTATTTGTCCCGCAACAGGGACATTTACATTAACAGCAGAAGCATAGTGCAGATAAAGTACAACATGGTGCTTAATAATTAAAACTACACAGGGTGACAGAGGGGGCCCATGAAAATAACGGATCGCTAAATAATGCCATTAAATACCATTTGTCCAAAACTACTTTATCAGAAATAATTGCTTTTTCCTTCTTCGCAGAGAAGCTGCTTCATATTATCGAAATAGTTTTACCTTAAAACATAAAAAAAAGAAAGAAATGTTACTAAAATAAACGGAAAAAGGTATTATCAGCCAAAAGTAAAACAATTTATAGAATATAATATTTTGTATTCATGTTGTTTATACTTGCGTTTTATAAGCTATTTCTGAAACACTTAGCTATTCTGAATATATACATTAAATAATATTTTGTTCATTTGAGTCATTTGTTAAAGATGTGGGAATACTAAGCATTCACATTTTATAGAATATAATATTTTTCTGTTTTTTATTACCAATAAATCCACATATGAGTATAATAATGCTAAATGTTGCCAATTTTGGATACTTTGAACACTACAAGTTGATTAGTAATATAGTTATGCGTTGTATGAAATAGGCGTGACATTTCCTTTTATGTGAAGAGTAACTAATTACTCTAGAAGTGCCCTTATTGACATTCCACGTGAGGTAGTGGGATACTGCATAGGGAAAGACACGGGAGCTGCAAAATGCAGAGAGGAGAAAATGTTTATCGATTCATTATTAATAAAAGGCTTTAGAGCAAAAAAACATTAATTCATATTTTGTGTGCGTCAATTTATTTGATCGTAACAATGAAACAACAGTCTGGTCACTTTATACAGTATATAGCAGTACATCAGCTTTCTGCTAAATGATTAGACATGAGTGAACTGAAACAACTGAAACGTTGACTTGAATTAAATGTATGATGTCAACAGATTTCACATAACTGCATTAGGTTAGTTGAGAGCAATAATATTAAGTTGAACCTAATATTTGTTATTTAAACGTAATATTATTGCTTTCAACTAACCTAATACAGTTATGTGAAATTTGCATTTCACTTTGTTCAGTGTGCAGAATGAATGAGGATGTGTGCTCAGTGTGCAGCTGTAGACACCATCATGTCTCCTCCAGGTAAACATATACAGCAGAGTGCAGCAAATGGAGTTTAGACTGTATTGATGTATTTATACAGGAGCGGGGATTGATGTTAAAATACTTCTGATCCCATCTTCTCTCTGACCTGTATTCCCTGTTGCCACGGTTACTATCAGATTTCATTTTGAGTGAATCCTGGACTGCTGCACACTGACTGTGCAAAACCTGTCAGGCAAAGGCAGAGTGTTTGAGAGCCCAGCTGGGTGTGTTACATGAACACGTTATGTAGCTCAGAAGCTCTTCAGTCCAACATGATCTTAGATGGCAGCCTGATATCAGCCTGTGTTTTCCTCACAAGCTGTCAAGTCAACCTTAAACCCGTCAGGAAGTTGTTTCCTGGGGTAATACAATAAATCAGAGGTCGGATCATTTTCTCATAGACTTGTACACATTCTTAATTATTTTTGCAACCTGTAGACACACCTGCTGGCTATTAGAAAGAATGGTTGTTTAGGACAAGAGATTCTGCCTAATTGATATTATTGCCTTAATCAAAACTTTTTTTTAATTAATGTTTTAAGTAGGATTATTTGCTGCTTTAAGAATTCAAATTGAAACATTAGTAAATAAGTAATGCTATATTTATTACATTAAATCATAGGTGTATCCTGTGCAGTACAACATCACCATGATCTCAGGAAAATGCATTTAACTGCAGAAATGTTTAATATTTCTAACACAGCTGTTACTGCATCTCTCCGCCGATATTTTTAAGTCACTATCATTAAAACAATTTTTAGAGGTTTCATAAAAACAACAGCAATCATGTCATCAATCTGGAATTAAAACCCGTCCCAACATTGAGGAAAACCTTTATTTCAAATGCAGGGAACCTTAAGTGGTGAAATGCTAACTCATTTCCGGGCACTACGACTCATTCCTGCACCTCCCTTTTTGCCTTCACCCACTAACTGTCATCCTCATGATGTCTTTGCACAGATGCAGCAGATGGTGAACTCTGACTCACGGTTCACCAGCAGCCAACAGCCAATCGAAGCTGCGCTCGGACCCAGGAGCCAATCGGGCATGAGCCAGCAAGGTCAGCTGTCCACCATCAACCAATCCCAGCTGGGGCTGAGTGGGAACTCTGCTACCCATAATTCTCCTTCCCCCCCTGGAAGTAAATCAGCCACCCCGTCCCCGTCCAGTTCAGCACATGAGGACGACAATGATGACGGACTCAGGGTAAAGAAACACACAAAGACACTGTATTGTCTATATTGTGTGTGTGTGTGTGTGTGTGTGTGTGTGTGTGTGTGTGTGTGTGTGTGTGTGTGTGTGTGTGTGTGTGTGTTGGTGTGTGTGTGTGTGTGTGTGTGTGTGTGTGTGTGTGTGTGTGTGTGTGTGTGTGTGTGTGTGTGTGTGTGTGTGTGTGTGTGTGTGTGTGTGTGTGTGTGTGTGTGTGTGTGTGTGTGTGTGGGATAGTTGTTATGGTAATGTTATGTGTCATAATAGACCCGTTCTCCCTGCATATCAAGTAGATGGAAATCTGCGCCCTCATACTGAAACACACACTCCACCAAACTGACTGTTCATATTCTGGGGAAATGAAACCATTACTGTGCTGCTGAATAATATTCATCACCTTTTTTCATTCTCATTGGGTGAGAATGAATTGTATATGTCCGACAAGCAAGTATAAAGGCAGTGCTTGCCTCTGGAGGAGCAGGGAATAGAAAACTAAATAGACTGTTATAGATAGACAAATATATGTTAACAATATACTCCTACACAGGCCCGGACTGGCCATCGGGAGGACCGGGGGGTTTCCCGATGGCCTGGCCCGTTAAGTGGCCTGCTGGCCTGAGGATTTTTTTTTTTAATGTATGTATTGTGAACGCAACACTGCGCAAACATGGCCACTTTCATACAGATCATACACTAAAGCCCTCGATTGGTCTCTGTGTGTCATTCAAGCTCGGGAGGGTGTGTGTGTATGTGTGGTGCGAGCAAGAGAGAGAAAGCGTGCGCACCGGTTACGTGTATTGTTGTTGTTAACATCTGGTGCTAGCTAGCTGCGCTAACGGATATAAGGAGCTGTTTCAACTACAAGGTGGAGGGAGAGTCCTCTGCTGTCAGACGGAGAGACTGATAACTACAGCTCAGGTGAGGTTAAGGACTCTCTGAGTGTTTAGATAGTTAACTTAGTCTAAGTTATCTCTGTGGGTCTCAAACGGTTTGGTCACCATTTATGTAAACACATATTTCCATTTGAGGGGGGAGTGATTAGTAAAATATGCATGAATAAAAAATAAAAAAGTTAACTAGGTGAAAAAAGGTAAGATGCACTTATAAAACTTGTTGAGAGCTAAAACTAGTCTTTGCTGCTGCCTCAAAGAGGAGCAGGGGGGAGAGGGGGAGAGGGGGGGAGGAGGGAGAGGAGGGAGACAGGAGAGGCTGATTCAGGAGCACAGACACACTCACAACTATAAATGAACCAAAAATAAATAAACAAGTTTCAGTGTTTTTTCATATTGGATATGGTATGTTATTGGTTATGGCCATGATTTTATGATTATTGAAATGTATACAGTTCTGTTTCATATATAGGTGTTCCCATAGATCTAGTCTCTTTATTTTCCCCTCAAAATGCACCAGATTGATGCATTTAACTCCAACATTTAAAAAAAAATCGTGCATGCCCCCGGACCGCCCTAGAGGATTTGAGGTCCACCCCCACTTAAAATCACATGGATAGGTTCCTAAATACATTTACAATTTGTTTAAAATAGTAACCCATGTCCATATGTTTATTTGTGGGTAGTAGATTTAAACTATAGGGCTATCACTATGGGCCCTGCCTGTACCTGTTCGCTCTGCCATCGCGTGAAGGGTCTGCTAACAAGCGACCAACAGAAAGGTTCATGTTGTTGCACGTCACAAAGGCACGTCACCTCAACTTCCCCCCCCCCCCCCCCCCCCCCGCTTCCACCACCCCCCAAGTATATTTCAGATCTGTGGGAAACACTGGTATGTGAGAGAGACTATGTATGTAAAAGGAGGATGTATGTGTGTGAGAGGACCAGTATGAATTACGGCCTGTACGGCCCCTCATAGTCAGCTGTTACTCATATACAGCTATATAAGAAATATAGTCAAACAACAGTCATTCAGTAGTGGACATGTCTGTCTTCTCTTTGGTGTGAAGTATGAGTGGCTCAGGTTTAGAAACATAAATCCAATCTGATGACAGGCTCCTGTCAGTCAAATCCCTCCACGTCCCACAGTCCTGATAGAGCAGATCAGCTGGGTGTTATTTAGGTGAAGTTTTGAATGTGAATTAAAGAGAGAAAATGCACGATTTGAAAGAACTTTTCAGGGGCCTTAAAACCATCATTGTTAGACTTGGAGATATAGTCAAAATGTTAATAACTTAATATCTGTCATTTTTTATCTTCTTAACAAACTAACTACGTGGTATAGCATATTTTTTATATTCCTGTATGAATTACTTGAGTTATAAAAAATATATATATTTGTAAAGCATAGTTTAATATTTTCTAAAGGAAATGGAGCTATAAAGGTTGCAGCTTGTACCAGCTGGAGTCCGCTTCGGACTCCCTCTGAATTGAGCCTTGGTGAAGTGTGATGAAAAAACAAATCTGCAAATGTCAGTATGTGCTTTTTATTTTCAATTAAGAGTCCAAATAATAGTGAATCATATCTGGATACATGATTGTTTCCAGTGGCGAACCGTGTCTATCACAACTGGACCTTCTGTAGACACACACGGTTCGCCACTGATTGTTTCACAATATGATTCCATCGAAAGACAGTAGTCAGATTTATTTAGCTTAGTTTGATCAATTAAATCCTGTCCGTTAATCCCTTGAAGCACACAAGGAAAAATTCTCCAAAGAAACCACACCATTACCGGGGAAAATAAATGAAAGCAATCGCCTGGGAAGGAAAGACGCGGAGCTGGTTCCGTCAGCAGTGAACTACAAGCTTTTTGAGCTACAGTATATTAGCAATTTGAGCTAAAGTGGCTGAGGGAAACTAAGCTGCTGTGGCTAGCTGAAGTGATGCATTAACAGTCTACAGCACTCAGTACCCTGTGACTAAATCAGGAGGCACAGGCAGGACAGGGATATCTGCTGTTAGCTGTCAAGGCCGCTCACTTATTCTATTTCAATCAAAACAAACACATGTTCAAGGATCCTGGTAAAAACTTTACTTTAAAAACATTTTTTAGAGCAATTATTTAACTGTATAAATGTATTTCCAAAATGGATGATTCAATCTTTATGATAAGGTGTATCTTTTTGCATTTATATAAACATTTGTTTGTGGTTAATGCCCAAAATAAGACCTTTGGTTAACACAAGCTGAAGAGATGTTCATATGTTGTTCAACGATGTGAAATACGTCAGTAAATACCCCACTGGTGAATTTCTGTCAGCTTTTAAATTCTGGCAATTAACACTTAGACAATTATAAAAGTGGTGTTGATATGAGGGGCTTATCCTGCGGAAAAATATGTGTATGTAGCATACAAATTGTATTCACTACAGATCATATTTTCTGCAAAATTTCGAAATCCAAGGGAAAAATCCCATTGCTTTTTACTGAGGGAGGCCTTGCCATGCTAACTTCAGGGTCGGCCTACAAAAACACATCATCACTGCACCGCTCTAAGCATGTTGTTTTCTTGTACCACCATTTTACTGTTTTTACACATATTTAATACAGATCTAACCTCCACCCACCTCTGTGTACATCCATATATTCATCCTCGCCATACCTTGCTGTGTCAAATTAACCTCCTCCTCCTCCTCCTTTTAGCTGGTCAGTGTAGCAGAGAAGAGGCCAGCGACAGTGGACATCTCCAAGAAACCAAAAACACCAAAGAAGAAGAAGCGCAAAGACCCCAACGAGCCGGTGAAGCCAGTTTCCGCCTACGCCCTGTTCTTCAGGGACACCCAAGCCAACATCAAGGCCCAGAACCCCAACGCTACCTTTGGGGAGGTGTCCAAGATCGTGGCCTCCATGTGGGACGGCTTGGGGGAGGAAGAGAAACAGGTAGCTCCTCCAGCTGTCAATCAGCATGACATCAGTGACATGACGACAATATGTACATGGTAGCTACACTGAAAAAAAACAAATGTGACTTTAATTAAATGTATTATGTCAACAGATTTCACATAACTGTTTTAGGTTAGCTGAGAGCAATAATATAAAGATTAAATATGTAAATAGGTTCAACTTAATATTATTGCTTTCAGTTATATTACATTTGTTGACATAATACATTTAATTAAAGTCAACATTTCAGTTTTTTTTCAATGATTGTCTAGTTTTTGGTCATGAAATACAAAAACACAATAATGAAAGTTTGTTAGGAAAATGATTTGGCCATGCCAGCAGCACAGATCTATAGATGATTTACTGAAATATCTACACTTTTAATCGCAATGAAATGTGGTTCATATATTCACGTACCACAGGGTTAGGTGTCAAAATGTCAAATATTAAGGTAATGTGGTTCTTTATGACCAAATTACTAAAACGATTCTAATGCCATCAGCCTCAGTACAAATGTAAAAAATAAGTTGTAGTAGGTGCGTGATAATTCATTACTGTAGCCTAGTGTTACATGTAGATAACTGTCAGCTGAGGGAAACACTATGAGCCCCCTGATGGCTGTTGTGATGATTAAATTCAGTATCCATTCTCACAGCCGGTGTTCACTCAAAAATCAGTTTACAGGAATATAAACTGTGCTTTACAGATGATGTACTGATCATTCATTTAAATGTTGTGAACTGGAATAGAGGTGGATAATCCTCTGTGTGTGTTTCAGGAGTACAAGAAGAGGACGGAGACGGCTAAGAAGGAGTATCTGAAACAACTGGCTGCATACAGAGCCAGCCTGGTCTCACAGGTACACACACACACACACACGCATACATACAAAGACACACACTCACTCACACACACACACACACACACACACATACACACACAAGCACGCACACACACACACACATTTTAAAGGTGTGAATGTGAATCTGATTTTCAGTTGTGTTTTTTGTTCTCCAGAGTTACAACGATCCGTCTGAAATGAAGCCCCCCCACTCTTCCTCCATACCTTCCTCTACCTCAATGTATAGCCCTAAGCCTTCAGTGTACCCCGGTCACCCGGGCCAGCACCACTCCTCCAGCCCAATGGCCCACCCCCACTCTCATCCCCACCCCCACTCTCACTCTCACCCCCACTCTCACCCTCACTCCCTCCCTTCCCACCAGCACCCCAGCATGTACATGCCGTACCCTCACCAGTCGCACCCTTCCCACGCCTCAAGCCCCGGCCTCAGCCCACACCTGCCCCCCCCTCACACCCAGATGCACCCCCAGCTCCAGGCCCTGTCCTCCAGAGGGACGGCGCCACGGCCCAGCGTGCCCCCCCACCAGGGAGCTCTGTCCCTGGGCAGCATGACGGCGGCCAGCCCTCCGCTCCAGGTCAGCCCCCCCCTCCACAGCCAGGCCCACCTGGGGGGGCTGCACAGTCCCCACCAGCAGCACCAGCAGCATCACCAGCACCACCAGCACCAGCAGCAGCAGCACCAGCAGCACCAGCAGCAGCAGCAGCACCAGCAGCTCAGTGGACACTCTCTGGGAATGACACACTCCCCGGGCATCTCACAGGTCAGTCCCCTCTCTAACACATATCTAGTTTAACAACCGCACACTGAAGGGAAGTTCACAAGGGAGGCAACGTCCATTTTTGGCGAATTACATGTATAGTCAATGCGAAGACGCGGATAGACACGCATTCGTCCTGGGCGGCGTAAATGAAGCTAATGACGCGGCCAAGCTGTCGTGCGAAAGCCAATCAGTGGTAAGAATCTCAGAGTGTCCTCACTGACGATGTTGAATCAGAAACGAAACAGCAGCTGTTGCTCACAGAGCTCACAGTTCATTGTATCTGGTCAGAAACTGGATGTGCAAACCACAGGCTGTGTATGGCGAATACAGTCGCTGCTTTATATCTGTCTACAGGTTGTTGTTGTTGTTGTGAGTGTGGACGGAGCAGCTCCAACGGGAGCTCAGCCTGGTCTGTCCGATCTCCTACTGCCGTCTTCTATGCTCACTTGTCAAAGCATTAATTCATGGTTTTTACTAATCACTATCAGTATTTTGATATTTTGGCATCATTTTGATACGTGTATTACAATAAATCACGTTCAAATATGTTCATTTTTCTTGTTGGTCTCTACATGGACTTAAGCCCCGCCTCCTCGCCAGTGCATATAGTTTGAATGATGCGAGAAAACTAAAGTGATGCTGGGGTCAAACTTACGTGAGTTCCGGTGACGCACCATAACAGGAAGAGGAAGTGAATCTTTGGGAACACTTTCTATCTGTGGATGATGGACGCAGCTACTCTCAACCAGTGGGCGATGGCCTCACGCAGTGTCCACACGGCAGCGTGCGTTGAAGCTTGCCGGTGGGCGTGTCTGAAACTCGACCAACAACCAATCACATGAATCTACCGCCCCGGACACACAAGCACGCAGTTTGATTGGCTAGAGCTTGTACAGGCATATGATTTGATTGGCTGACGCTTCCATTGAAGCTTCAAAAGTTGAACTTTTCTCAACCTTTGAAGTGAGCAACGCGAGCAAAGTGAAGCGACGGAACCACAATAGAGTGGCGAAGTCCCTCCCCTTCCGGTGGACCTCCATGGGACCTTATTTTGGAAAAATTATGTATTGAAGTCAATGGAGAGAGAAAGATTATCTTTCGATCCCGTTTGAATTGTGCCACGAATTACACATATGATGTTTGTCAATTTAAAAGATAATTTTGCAAGTAAAAAAAAAAAAATGTGTCGTAAAACTGTGAAGTAACACTTTTGTTTGTGTGAAACGCTCAATGAACTACATCTCTGGTCAACAACACACGTCACCAAGATGGCCGTCACTACTGTCTTGTCAACAAAACGATTGACTACCCTCACTATCACCACAATGAAACACGTCCTGAAGAATGTCATGCAAAGCTGCCTGCCTGCCTTCCTTTGATTCTCTCTGAACTGCCTGGTCGTTTTAATGTTTAATGTCAACCATTTGCATACATGCCAACCTTTCCAAATCCAAAAGAGGTAGGTTTGCGCGCGGCAAATGTGCACGCCCAAATTAGGTAATCAGAACCCCAGTAATTACATGTATAAACCATGTATTTAACATATATTGCATCATTTTATGCATTTTTCAGAAAAAGTGGTAGTTTGGTAAACACTAAACAGTGACATCAACGACATGTTTGGTCTGTAAAATGCCCGAAAAGTAAAAGAATGGGAGATAAATATCCCAAAGTCTCCACATTTTATTATATTTTTAATGTGTTTCTGGTCCTCTTTCAGTTGCATTGTTGGAGAAGCCTGTGACATAAGATTTTCAACGACATAATTACTCTGTAGCTATGTTAGTTTGACAATAAAGAACCTTGAACCTTGAAAGTGTAGATCAGGGGTGCCCAACCTTTTTTGAACCGAGAGCTACTTTTAAAGTGGCCAGTCTGCCGAGATCTACCAGTCCAAATAGAGAGGTGTAGCCATTACTGACAGCCTACTACCAGGTAAATACACACTTCTACTTGTATAAAACTGACCTTTGTACGATTAATACTTCATAAAATACTGCAGATCCTTTATCTTACCTCTTTCTAATCTACACACATACAAGTATTTAACTGAAGTTACACAACAGTGTTGTTGATACAGAGTAGGAGTTTATTCACACGTCACAAACTACAGTGGGTCATGTTTTCAAGAAACATTGAACAGTGCTGCCACATATGACACAGGAAAAAAAGAAAAGACTGAACCCTTTCTTTGCCATTATATAAAAATAGTGTTGCTACAAAAGTATAAATTAGTTTTACTAATAAGACAACTCAGATCTGCTGCCAGAGTGCAATAAAAAAGACTAAATTAATAGAATCAAACCCTTTTCTTTTTTTTGCATTTTAGTAGAGTATAAAAAGAAATGCCTTTAAAATAGGATGCAAGCAACACTAGTTTCTTAACCTGAATTGATAATAGACTATACTCAATTTAAACAGAACAGATCTTAAAGTTTGCATTCTTATACCATTTTGTACAATAATTATAATGAATAAGTTCGAACAAACTAAAACTTACAGCTGATTAATAACGGTATCTAACTTGAGTTTTTATTATATCAAAAACCTGTTGAAATGCTACTGTTATTTTTACTGTCCCCAAAAAGCGCGTCGGCAGCCTCCAGGAATGCTTCTTTCACAACTTTGCCGTCTTTGAAAGACTTCATGTGTTTCGCAAGAACGTGACTGACACGATAAGATGCTATGGTAGCAGCCTTGCTCTTGTTGTTGGGCCTGGTGAAAATGGACTGCTGTGCATTTAGCTGTCCTTTCAGGTCCCTCACCTTTTGGGAGCGTAGGGCAGAATTAGGAGGGGATTCCGTCTCGTAGCGTTTGTGCACTGTTTTGAAATGCCGCTCCTAAATTACCCTTCTTCGATAAAGCCACGCTCGCATTGCAGATGAGACAGATAGACTTTGAATTGGAATAGATACAAAAATAATCATCCTCCCCACTCAGAGTGAAAATTATATATTTTGGGCTCTTTTGCTTTGTGGTCTTGTGTGTGTGGACTGCACAGCAAACTAGTGCCCACTGCCCACTGCCTACCAGCCACGCCCCGATACATGGGGTCACGCCAATCACAAAGCTTTGATGCGTTCATGTGCATTATTCTGGCACAGGAAGATTATGTTATAGGACATTAACGATAAAACAGAATATTGTTGTTCTATTTTTAGACACATCTCGCGATCGACTGAAACACAGAGGATTGTTTGTATGATGGGATCACAGACACGCTGCAAACGGTGTCCGCCAAAAGTCGAGTCCAGTGTCTATGTAGTGTCATTTTTATTTGTTATAGTTTGGGAAGATTGAAAATCGGTAGGGAGAGTCAGCTAAGTCGGTAGGCGGTAGAAACATGTCAAAAGCGGTAGACTACCGCCCAAATCGGTAGGGTTGGCAGGTATGCATTTGTGCAGATAGCATGAAGTAGAGAAGATCGCTAGCGTTAGCGTTAGCATTTCTCCCCCGGGCTTAAATTGTGTATTATAGAATGATCACACCGGTGACAGTACTATTCAAAGGGTTCACGAAATATGACTACTACTCTTACTGTTTAACATGTTGGGTTACTTCATGTTACTTCATGTTAAGGCTAATAAAAATGACAAGGCTGTAATGCTAACTAACGTGCTAGCTACTAGCTAGCTTGATCAAGCCACTCCTAGTCCTTTCATCAGACGGGAAGCGAAAGAATGAGCAAGACCCATTGCTGGTATAATAACAACCTGGTACTAAGCACACAGGCATCTTGTTAAAGTTATCTTATCTTAGCCAGCGCCATATAGATAGATTCTATCTATATGGCGCTGATCTTAGCTATCTCTTTAGCTAGGAAAACAATTGTGACATCACTTACGCAACTCTGGGATTTGTAGTCTTTCTAGTTACGTATTTTTCATAGTCTTATATTTCAACAGTTTTACGACAAACTGTGACTTTTTTGACATGGAAATTATTTTTTAAGATTGACAAACATCATATGTGTAATTCATGGCACAATTCAAACGGGATCGAAAGATACGTTTTCTCTCTCCATTGACTTCAATACATTATTTTTCCGAAATAAGGTCCCATGGGGCGGAAGTAGGTGGGCGTGACTTCGCCACTCTATGCAGTTCGGCAAATCGTGACGTCACCCCATTCAAAGTGAATGGGAAGAAGCGTTGAAGCTTCAACGCACGCCGCCGTGTGGACGTGCCGTCAGAGGCAGTGACACAAATTAATCATATCTTTAGATGAAAAATACAGATAAAAATGATTTTCAGGCAGATCAAGAAGAAAAACTTTCTGGAGTAAAATAGTCCGAAAGAAACATCCTTATTCATTTCCTAACCACTAAGACGTGAAGGAGAATTTATAAAGAAATAATGAACAGCGATGCTAAGACGATCCAACCTCCCCTTACACTGGGCCACGTGATTTTAAAACACTGAGTGTTTTTGAAGTAGAGATATATTATAAATGTTAACAACCCAGTGAACAATTTTACTTTGTAACTAAGTCTGGGATTGAAATAAAAAAAAGAAACATAGGCTACCAGTCCCAAAAGTGAAAGAAGGCAATCACACGGAAAGAGGTTGCTCATCCACATAAATCACAGTTAGCGTTATTGTATGAAAATACATAACGATCTGCATACCTTGACGATGTTGTTGGTTGTTGGTTTTTGCTAATCGCCCCAATGTAACATGACAAGGACCTTACATTGTTTTACAAGCCTCTGCATACTCTTCTTATCATTATTAGATCATTAGAGATTTCAGACTTTTTACAATTTCCATCTCTCTCACCACCCATCATCAATTTCACTATTATCTTTCTACATTGTCTTTTTGCACGTATACAGACTATTATTAGTAGAGCCATTTCCTTTGGATTTAGACTCAGCTCATGTCTCCTCGAGAGTCTTCAGCTTGCCCTGTCCTCTATGGCTCATCAACGTATTCCTCTCACACACACACACACACACACAGTCATCCTTCCTAATATCTGGAGGTAACAGCAACTAGCTG